CTGTTAATCTGTACTGCTCCACTTACATGATTCAAGAAAAACAATTTCTCTCGTGCCCAACTAATAGGCTAGACCTATATGCTGTATTTTCAAGTAGGCCTACTAATTGGTAGGCCTGTAGGAAACAAGAGAAACTAGTTTGCGAATAAATGGTTTATTTCGTTAAAATTTGTGTTCATCTTGATTTCGCTTAGATTTTTTGGCTCTATTATTCTTGATTTAAGTTGCAACAGTGAAGTTAGCAAGTAAGAAAAGAGGAAGCTAGAAAAGTTACTCAAAAAATCATGCAAAGCAGAAGCTGATTTTAATTTTCTCAATTATTATTATTATTATTATTATTATTATTATTATTATTATCATTATTATATTATTATTATTATATAATTATTATTATTATTAAAATTATTATTATTGGTAGGCCTATTTATATTATAAATATACCATTCTTACAACTTTTATTTCTATAGCATTTAATTATTGTTTATGTACTTTTGGATTTGTCCTTTGAGGTTTTTTATTGTAAGCGTTGCTGGGCCCTGAAGGATAACAAGATAACAATGCTTTTTGCGCTGATCAGGTCACCCAGGGTAAAGGAGAAATAAATATATAATAATCCGTTATAAAATGACGTATGTAGTGACCACAGCTGATTGCTCATTCCAATTAAAACATCCAGACTCTTCCAGCGTTAAAGTTTTCTGTAATTTCCCTCATTAGGCAAAACATTTCGATGGCTCCATCAATGAAGCAAAGAAGAACCATGCACTGACTGTTACTTGGTACCTATTCGAAGTGTTTTGATGTTACAAGCTTGAGATATTTAGATGCCCTGTATGAAGATATTGGGGTGGGATAAGGAAGGTAACTAGCTTTTCCCCTTTGCTTGATGATGTTACCTTGAAATTAAAAAAAAATAATTCTACCCCTCAATATTCATTTTTATTACATGTATTGTGTAAAAGGTCCGACTGTACCTATTTTAAACATTCACGTTTTGGATAGGAACTGGCAGTATATTTAAAAGATAGTTCTGTATTCTTAAATTCCTTTTAAAAATTTATTAACATCAAACGTTACAACATGGCTACCAGTTAAAATTATATAAGCAGTAAAAAAAATCATTTAATTATATTTATTAAAGCACATTACTGAAAATATAATAATAATAATAATAATAATAATAATAATAATAATAATGAAGATGATGATGATGATAATAATAATAATAATAATAATAATAATAATAATAATAATAATTAATAAAATATTTAAATTAAGGCAATCTGGTTTACAAGTTAATAGATACAATTCAAAATTGAGATTCTGTACAGCAATCATTAACAAAAACGGAATTATAATAATGCGTTCTTAACAGAGACAAATTTATTATTCCTTCCAGTTGCTGCTCACTCATAAGCCTACATTACAAAAACAAAACATGTACCAACTTCTTACCAATTTAACAT